CAAGAATAATTGAACTGATTTGAGTTTCAAATTATTGTTGAAGTTTTTGAAGCAGCTTAAAACACTTTCTTTTGTGTTTTAAAGTATACATAATATTGTAAAATGTGCAGTAACACTGTACAATAAATATACATCCTGGATTTTAGATAAATGCACATGACTGTACAGTACCTTTTGAGATGCTGATGAATTGATAGAATCTATAGCCTGAAAACGAAAAATAAACTTTACTGAGCACTGTAGATGAATGTTAAATGTATCTAGTAGTAGACACAACTACATGTAGTTAGTACTTCAAATATTAGGGCCAAACAAACAATGCCCAAAGCACTCATGAATGTCCTAGCTGAGGTTTGGCATTTGCTGACTTTATTAGGTCAGTTTGAAGGCATTAATAGCCCCTAAAGAACTACATGTAGCCACTTTGGTGACCAAATGATAATATTAGGTCTATTGTTGGTAACCAAGTTAATGGTGTTCCATAGCAACCAAAAGTACAGTACTTCCTTGGAAGGAAAAATATTTGAAATATAAGACCTTCACAGTCTCAAATGCAAACAACAGCTGGAACAGCCCTTCAGGATACCCCAGCACATGCCCAAGTGCAGGGTCATAAAACACTTCTCATTAAAGGGACACTGTCAATGGATGACATGCGCAGTRACAGTCTCACCTCTAACGGACTTTGAAAGTATAACCTTCGAGGTAAATTATTTTGTGGTGCTTTTGACACACTTTGGAATATTCTAGATCTGTTTACGTTTACGAGCTGATTTATGTCGAGCCAACTTGGAGTCATAAACTTGAAAACACTAGCCTAGTGTCTTTAAGTTTACTCGCGCATGCGTGCCATTGACAGTGTCCCTTTAACAACATCCTCTGCACCTTTAACCATCCTTCAGCTACTGACTTCTGGAATCGAATACCAGAACGAATAGAATCTAATGTAAGGAGTTCGCCACTCTTTGCAGTACTTCCTGAGGCACTACAACACAAAACCAGCATAACAATGAAACACAAAGTTGGCAAGACATTATGATCAATTATAATACAATGTAGGAAGCAGGAAAATTGATCATAGTGATTACAACTGACTTTTCAAGACTGAATCAAAAAATGTACACCTCCAGTACTAAAAAAAAGAAAGTAAAAAAACTGGTGCTTCTACTGGGAGTGCATTTTTATGAAAAGTGAAAAATTTTAGGTGAAAATTTAAGTTATTGACTGCAACAGTTATTGACCACTATAATTTTGAAATTAAAATATTATTGTTTTAACAATAATTATGAATATTAATTAAATATAATTAATACACACATGTACCTTTCCTTTGAATTTCTAGGGTTCAGTGGTGTAGAAGAAGACTGTGGTGGCAAAAGGGAATTGAAGTCAAGGTTGCTTCTTAATTCATTGATCACCTGAACATACAACAAAACAATATGATTTTTATTATACTGACAAAGGCAAAATGTATATGTTGAAGTTCAGGTTCAATATGATTTTGAACCAGTTCAATTTCTTCTGAACTGGTTCAGTTTATTTTGAGCCAGTCCAATATAGCTCAATCCAGTACAAATCAGTTTAGGGTTAGGTTTAGTGTTAGGTTTAGGGTTAGGGTTAGGTTTAGGGTTAGGTTTAGGGTTGGGAATAGGGTTGAACCAGCATTATATAAAAATTTTCTTCATTGATAAATTACAATTAAGATAAAAACAATTTGCAAACATTACTACCAACAAAATACTTGATTGTATAATTGGTAGTACTGTGGACTATGAAGCAAGATTTCAGTGGTTCAAACCCTGATGAAGGTAAGTGCTATTCATAAATTAAAAATATAGAAAATATCA